AAGGCCGGGGGCCCCCGGGGCCCCCCGCCGCCGCTTCTCTTAAACGCGGTTATCCTGCGTTTCGGAGAGCAAGCCTGGCCGCCGGCTCCTCGATAAAACCATCAGGTGGGAGCGCTTGAGCGGTGACGCCGGCAACGCCCGGCAGTGGGACCCGAATGGCTCCATGGCTCTCCCTGGCCCCCTCTGGGCTGCTCCTCTGGCTTTGAACGCTGCTCTGGGAGCCAAGAAGGGAATTTCGTTGTGCAGAGAGGTACGTGCTGCGCAGGTTCTCAAAAGAGGGCTTACTTCTGCTCTTCTCCCTGGTTGCTTTTTACTTTGAAAAGGGCTTAAACCCAGCCATTTTAATGCGCGGTAGGACAAGTATTAAAGGGGATGCTCAGGTGCTTATTTGCTCCTGTGAAAAAGGATTTGCTCGCAAGCAGTTTTCCCGGGCTGCAGGCTGGGAAGGTTTGCGTCCGCATCCCCTGAGGCGGGCAGAAAGGTGATGGAGGGCATTTTGGAGAGACGGATCAGACCCCATCCTGCACATCCTCGGCGTGTGCTCTGCCTTTCAGTTTGCTGGTAGGCACTAAGTTTTGTTCCCAATCATTTACTTTTCATCCCAGTTTCAATCCTGTTATAGTCACGTACACAGAGGCCAAGCAGTCACATTCCCGGGCTTCCCATTCCTGTATGGAGCCATCCCTTTGCAGGGCCTGGCTGCAGGCAGAGCTCAGCAAATCTGCTCCGGCTGAAGCCGTTAGTTCTGGTTTAACATCCCTGGTGTTGAGGCTTCCTCCGAGAGTCTTCCCTCCAGAAGCCATGGCGCTGACAGCCCTTGTCTCTGGATAATCCCATGCATGGAAATGCCTCCTGCCCTTCTGCTCCGCATCCCCCAGCCGAGTCGTTACAGGCCTGGGCTTGCAGCCGCCACCGAGCGGTGGGTGCCCCCCGGGGGAGCGCTGGGCTGGAGCTGGGGGGGCACAAGCATTCGATGGTGTCACCCCCATCCTGGCTGCAGACGGGGTGTCACGGCCCCGGGGTGATCTACAACCGCAGCGTGGCAATAGGAGGGGAAAAGGGCTGGGGCTGGTTTGGCGGTGTTTGAGCAATCCCATCTGTTGCCTGAGCTGCAGCAGGCGCTGGGGAAGGGAACGTTCCCGTTTGCACTTGGTGCCAGGGCTCTTCCCTGAGCTGCGAGGGATCAGTCCCCATGCTTTTACAGCTGCGTTCGCTCCTCCGTTCCGGCTGCGCTCCTCTCAGAGCCCAGCAACTGTTGTTTCCAGCATGACATTACCAGCACGACCAACCCCCGGGATTATCCAACTTTATCCAATGCTCATCTGCGCTGTTCCCGGATGGCTGCCGGCCGAGCTGCAGGCGGCCTCCTCCTGCGCCTTGCGCCCTGCGTGCTCCTGGCCGGAGCTGACCCGCAGCGCCCGCAGCCTCTTGGGCTGTCCCTCCGCGTGAAAACTCCCTTTCTGCAGGGTATCGATAAGGAGGACCAGTTTGTAGGGTGCTCCCCCCGGGCTGTGCGCGCCCTGCGCGCTCCCCGGTGAGCGTAATTAAGGGTTTCTCCGTGCCTGCCGAGGTCTTGTTCTTGGTTCTGGCTCAAGCGAGCGTGGGTCCGAGTTGTGGAAGTCGTTAGCGGCGTGGGCAGGAGAAAAGGCGGGATGCAGCCATGGGCTCGCGGGGGTGAGCCTCCTCCCCGAAGGTCAGCCGCTCTTTGGGCTTATTTTATGTTTTTTAAGCGGTGAGCTAACAGCAGGGGCTGGACCCGAAGGCGTGCCGGTGCCTGAGCGCAGCGTGCAGCCGACGGGTGCGGGGGATCGTCCCGTGCCATCCTGGGATGGCAAAACCTGCGCGGGCGTTTTCTGTGCTAGCCCCCATCTCGGAGCGCAGAGCCGCTGGCGTGAAAGCTGGCGTGGAAGTGGCAAGGTGGGAGCCTTTCCTGGGGGTCTGGTGGTGGAGCAGCACAGCAGAAGGGCCGATGCTGGCTCTGCGCCTGGGATGTCCCCCGGCCCCTTCTCTGCGCCAGGACGGCCACCGCTGCTGGGTGTGGAGGTGGCTCCTCTGGGAGCTGCCACCGTGTCCCCAGGGCGAGCCAGGACCAGGCACTGCGGCTGCCGACCCTGCTGGGACGGGAGGTTTCACCCCGTGCTGCCGGGGCTGGTGGGGGGCACGGGGGCGGCACTGGCCCCACCAGGGTCCCCGCTTCTGCCTCGCTGCTCCCCGCGACCTGTGGGACAGGGACGTGTGTGCCCAGAGCTTGCAGAGCCTTTAAGCTCGTCCTGTGATGGGCGCGACAGAAGGGCAAAGGATTACGCCTGTGCCTGGGTTTGGATGAATGAATAACAGCATTCAGGGCGCCTGCTGCGTGATAGCAGAGCAAGAACTATTTTAGGGCAGGAAGAAAGTTGATCAGGCAACAGCCAAATGAGTCATCACAGCCTAATTCTGCAAACGGGGGGCACGAGGCGGAGGGAAACCCAGCCTGCAGCCCACCGTGCCTCGGCCAAGCCCACGCTCGCGCCTGGGCTGGCAGTCGGATGCCAGCTTGCTTCTTTCCTTTTTGGGAAATCCGAAGGATTTTGCTTTTCCTGGTGTCTTCCCAGCTCCTCATTGACATCGCAGAAATAAGGGCCAGAAACGTGCCGAGCCGGGGGTCCCGCTGCCCTCCCCGCTGCTCACCTGAAGATGCTGATGCGGATGACAGGAATTGGGGAGGATCCTGCGAATCCAGCTACCGGTTTATCTTTTAAATTAACTCCTGCTGATGTCGTGACTTGCTTTTCTCTGGATTTTAACTCATGCCAGTGCAGTGTTTTGCAGTTCTCTGGATTTGTAGCAGGACTTTTAAAAAAAAAAGGTTCAAAAGCCTGCATTTGCAGTGTTTCACCGCCGTCAGCTCTGCCCACAGCGGTGTTTGCCCGAGGGGCACGCCGGGTGGCCCTGGTCTGTGCCGCAGGCACCGGCTGTACCTCGGTTTTGCCAAGCCCCGCAGCCTCCAGCCGTGCATCAGGGGCCGGGAAGGTCCCAGCAGTGCAGTCCCTCGGGGGTTTTTTTGAAGCCACATGTGCAGCAGAGCCCTTTTGGCATACAAATATCTTGTCCCCGGCCCTGATTTAGTTCATCTCCTGCCCCGAAGCTTTCCGTCCCTCGGCGCGTTGCTGCGCTCAGTCACGCTATCCAGCGCGGGCTGCGAATTCAATGGGTTGTTGTCCCGGACTCCCGTGTCGCGTCGACTAACGCCTTCCCCCGAACGGAGGCGTTTGCATCCGGAGGAGCCGGTCCCTCCCCGCGGGGCAGAGGGATCGCAGGGGGATTGCCAGTGCGCGGTGGGCTGGGGGCTTTGGCGCCGGTGAATGGGGTTTCCCAGCCTTCGTGGTTACAGAAAAGACCTTAAATAGACACTGAGAGGTCAAACGCTGGGAGACAGAGACCCCCAACCACAGGCTCTTCTTGTTCCTTTATCATTCATAGCATTTTTAAATAGATCTGGGAATTTCCAAGCCTGTTTCCTGATTTTGGGGGCTGATTTTACTATTTGAGGTTTATGGGCATTTGCTGAGCTGATGGTTCTCTGCAGAAGCTCTCTTCTTCATATTTGGATAAGGCGTGTGTTTGCGGTGTATCCTATGTAACCTGTTTTCCCCTTGATGTCCGGGCTCTTTCCCCATCCTCTTGGAGCAGCCAAATCCTTTAAGGAGTGCGTGTGCCCCGTGAATGTGTTATAACTCGATTTAATATGTGACAAACCCAGCCATGCGATATTGCAATTAAAGTAGAATACCAGAGGTGCGAACAATGCCGGCTTTTTGCTATGAATGAGCCGTGAGAGCGGAGGAGGAACCGAGAAGCAGGATTTTATTAATTGACTCCAGCAGATTTATTTGTCCTCGGTGAAGAGAGCCGGGCAGGGCTGTCAAAATTGTTCCTGCTCCGCTCACACGAGGCTGCTCCGCGCCTGGCTCCTGGCAAGCAGGAGCAGATCCTGGGGACAGAGGGCGACTGCGGGGATGGAGACGGTTCTCGGCTGAGCGATCTGTTAAATGCATTTCGTTAGCCAGCGGGGAGCGAGCTGGGGGTTCCTGGTGCTGTTTGGAAATGGCCCCTCGAGCCTGGCAGTCAACCTCCTGATGCTTTTCCATGGGTCCTGTCCCGTGGGGTGAGCGAATGCCATGGGGAAAGGGGGGATCCCTGCGGGGCTGTCGGTGCGTGCCTGGGGTCTCCAGCTGCCTTTCCCGCACGGAGAGGTCTGTTTGCAGCATGGGCACCCCGTGGCCCTCGGGAGCGTCGGCTGGAGCGCCCCACGGCACCGTGCTCAGCCCGGGGGCTGCTGCCCTGAGCCGGGGTGCAGGGTCTGGCCAGGGCTGGCGCTGGTGTTTGCAGGGGGCTGTCGTTTGGGTTTGCTCGTGGGGCTCAGCAGCACGCTCAGTGCATCTGAATGCAAATGCACCCAGGATGACAAACAAGCAGGGGAGGGAGAGCAGAGTGTGCCCGTGGAGCAGGAATCATCCCCCTGTGCTCTGGAGGCGTCAGCGGTTCCTCTGGGTGCTGAGCCAGAGCAGGGCTGTCCCTTGGGGACCAGAACGGGGCTTAACCAGTGTTGCCGAAACAAACCTTCTCCCAGACTTTGCACCGAGCTTCCCAGGTTTTGCAAGTGGGTTTCGGTCTCGGCAGCCTCTGGAATCCCCTCGGAGCAGCTCGGGGCTGCAAGACGGGGTGGCGGGCCGGGCGAGCGCTGGGGACGTGGCTGTCACACACGGCCTGGCTGTGGGCAGGGGAGAGCCTGGGTGACCTTCAGAGGTGACTGCTCC